CAGTCTCAGATTAGATGATGCGTCTAGATATATCGTGTGGTACGTTACTCGATATTTTTGCTTGTGCAATTTGTACACAAAAGTTGCAACGCGGGCTCTGAAACACCAAAAGTAACACGGCACTCCTTATCCACTTACTAGTTGAATGTCATCTTAGAAACCTCGGCCATCTGCGTGCCAGTGGGACCCCATGAATCTAAATTCGTGCACTCTCGCACTTTCAACTCTATGTCGGAATAATTCATTACCATGTTCTTCATCTTGTCGATCTGGTTGGTAACGCCCCAGGTGTTCAGGGCACCCCCGACTGACTCCAGATACTTAGCCATGCTGAAAAAAGATGAGACGTGCAAATGTACTGATGTCGATGGATCTATCTGCAACTACAGTGCGACTCTATAGTCTCTACCTATGTAGATATATGGTAGGCTGTCTTAGGTCTCACTTGTGGTAGACTATGTCCATTTATATATACAAATACCCGTAAAATAATACAAAGTGCCCTATTTTGATTTTATTTATTTACATTTTATATATATTTCCTCTTGGTACTTCCTCTTTTCTTGTTGGCTGCGCTCTATGTTGATTCTAAAAAAATGAATATTGTGATATTCTTAGAACAAAATGTAGTGAACAAATAAATAGCCCCTATTTTTGGCCGTAAAAAGTTTGTAAATTTCCCAATAAGATAAATATGTTCATACTTTTCAGTGTTCCACTCTCGCGCGAGTGTCGAGACTCGAGATTCGAGACCTAAAATATTTAGATTTAAATAATACGGCCCAACCGCCCAAGCCCCAAAACTATTGCAAAAAAAAATCCAAAAAAAACATAGCCTTCTAAATTAGACCGAAAAGCTCATGGGATTTTTTACAAAACATTATTCAAAAAAAAATCTTCACAAATCTGAACAGAGAAGACCGCCAAAGTGATGATGAGTGAACATATGATTGAATGACAGACTGATGACAGGACAGACCAGACTGACACAGGCGAAGGGGGTTAATCCGTTATTTTATATTAATATATTTTTAAAAACATATTTACCAACTTTGCATTATTATCGACCCAAAAGGCTGCTGTCCACGAAGTATATGACATCTCAAAATATATTACCTTGAATATCTTACAGATACATACTTCATAGGCTACATCCTTAAACATGGACATTCAGGTAGTGGGCTTGCTGAAGTCTGCCGAGAACCGCGCAGTGCATCAGATCCCTTTCCAAGGTATGAGCTGAATTTTAGTAGGTACAATTGTGCGGTGAAGTTGCATACATTTTTTTGTCTGGCGCAAAATGACAGAAGGTCACCTCTGGTTTGGAAACAGGTCTCATAATCTACCTCGTGGGTTTATTTTATCATAGTGATGGTTACAATCGCTAAGGATTTGCGTACTTTATGCTGTGGATTCAGACCAACGGAATCTGTTCGCAGTTGTTCGAAGGCAGGCTACACTCCTTGGCACAGGAATTTAAAATACACATTCTTATACAAGAGTCACATTTGAGAGTATCGCTGAATATGTAACGGCGTAGATAACCGACTTGAAGTTGATGGAGGTAATTCACTACCCTATAGAAGCATAGGGGAATCATGCCTGCGCCTTTTGCGCTGTGATGTTACGTATGTATACACACATATTTGGGTTTTCTGTCTTATATCTGTCTCGCAGTGGACCATCAAGGTCACGCTAACGTGAGCAAGTACTTCGTAAATCATGATGATCCCAGCTTGGAAGGCACAATGGTAAGTACGTTTCGAGGGCGCGAGTTGAAGGGAAAAGCGTACGACCTGCAATCCAACAATATGGGTAAGTTAATCGCACCACAACATGGGCATGTCAACCAGACCATCACTGCATTGATTATTGTTTACTGCGGGTACTAAAAAGACAACACGGCACTCGATATCTACACAATGCTGAGGCTCGGGTTTCTTGCGAAGCGAAGAGAAGCACACGCGATACCTCAGCTGCACCGATTGAGATGGACGAATGCATCGAACACAGCTGAAGTTTATTATTCTACCCATATTGCCACAAAGCCCTCCAAAAAGAAAAATGTACCCTATGCAAGTCTTTCTCCTTGTTTAATGTTTGCATCTGTCGCTAACCGCGTGAAGAATAATGTGCTTTTCCGATATACAGTTGGGGTGCTACTGAAGGAGAAGAGACGACCAACTACCGACGTCGAAGAGAGGGAGTTTCACGTGCACACTGCGTTTGATTCTGTGCATGTTTGGAATCATGATAGTCCGCCCGATGCCTCCCACGATTTAGACTGGACACTGAACAAGTGGCTGCCCATTTCTGCAGCGGTAAGAACATGTTTTAATAGCACTGTCGCAATACCCAATTGCGCACTAGAACACACACTAGTTAGAACCGAATCCTCATTGACTCGTACTCTCTCATCGTCTCGAATTTGACAAGCAGCAATTAGTCTGCGTGCTGAAACACACACAAATAGACTTTAAACCTCGTTGGCCTATATTTTCCTAAGCCCCCAGTCTCAGGTCGAATCTCGGATTACACAAAGAACATTATATCGCGCGCTTAAGCTCATACAAGTTAGACCCCGGTCGTCAATAGCATGTACTATCACCAGCTCGTAACCCTGATCGTAGAGCACGCCTAATGATGCATTACACGTTTTGCATATCGAAAACCATTATATGTCTCGCATACCGAAATATCGGTGTACGTACAACAATTCGAGTTTTTGTTGATTGATCGGAATTATGTCTCACATCTACAGCTTCACGATCCAATCGAATAATTGCGAACGATCGGCTGCAACTTCTAAATAAGGGAATGCTGTTACCACGTGCGTTTGCTGCAAGTGAGCACACATGCAAAATGCCAGGGTAGATGAGTGGAATGTAGCTATTTTCGTATGACTGATGAGAATTGAGGGCGTATTCGGGGCGATCTACATCCTATTGTGATATGAAGCAATGCCAAACTTCGTAAGGGAGTTTTTGTCACCGAAGTTCTGGATAGCGGAGCATATAGTCTTACACAAGCTTCGAGCATGCGTACATATGAACAGTGACATACTGGGTGAAGGTACACTGGGCGAAGTTCTGTTCACCTATCGTTCGCCTACTCCATGATCCTGGAGGAACGGGGTGAGACGCTTTGAACTTCCTGTCAGCTCTCACACACCATACTACAAAAGTGATCGTTATGAGGGTACCTATACCTCATTCTGAGATCGACTGCTGAACAGGAACACGATCTTCTGGGGAGGAGCACAACCAGTGCTCATACGTGGGCTTTGTCAAATAGCTTAACCTCGGAAGTTCAAACATATCCCCTCTTAGCGGATTGTCGATCATTGCACCCTGTCACTAAATTGTCACCATAGCATATGAGATAGCCTCATTTAATTTCGGATTCAATCTCACGATGAAAGTAAACATCGAGGTAGTAGAGTAACCATAACATTTTTGTGCATGTCCCTGTTAGTAAATGAACGTGCCCAAAATTTAATGTCATCACATACGACAGTATTTATTGATAAGAGCTTCGGGGAAAACAAGTCAATTCCGCGTCAGCAAGGGCTTCAACGAACAACAGGAGTATAAAGCAGAAGTGCCAGACTCGGCACTTTCTTTTTTATTTATGTGGGCTATCTCGTATTTCCATCCGAACGATGGTTATTTATGCTTAGGCTGTATTTTCTGCTCAATTTACGAGGCTACATTGGCGATCTCGGATATTATTTCTCGTCTCTGGTGCAAGCAGCTCCGGGAGTGTGATCGGGTTAGTACTCTGCTGCCGATCTGAATTTCCTCCGGATGCTGTCTTGGAAACCCACTGGCTCTGGGATGTATGGTCCTTCGTTTGGTATGAAAACTGCCTCAGCACCCTTGTCACCGCTGTACACCTGACGTTCTCTCGTATTCTGACCCTCCAGATACGAGCGGTTATTTCATTGACTTGCGCAATATGGTTCCTTATCCTTACGCGGAAAGTGCTACTGCATAACTTGACATGTGCCGGCGGGGTCCGCGATGGCACCATCTATTTTGTAGATAGCTTCGCAAAGCGTATCCAAGCTACCCCCAGGAGCTCTATGTATCTCGTGCTCTTCATTGCAAAGCACTTCGCTTGTGCTATGTGCTCGCCCAGTGTTATCATTCTTCTTGTCTCGAAGCTGTTTCGGACTCGGTCCCGCCATATAACTTTGCGAGTAAGCTTGACTATGGGATTTGTTCAAATTCTCCATGCTCTGTGCGCTCCGACTCCATCCATATTCATTTACCTCCGATGGATACATTTCGGTGCCTGTCATCGAATCACTACATGGACGCGACGCGTGGTCATTTCTTGGCCAAGAGAGTGCATAGTTAGATTTGCTTGAGCTCAACTTTTGCGGAGCAGAATCATAATATTGACTCGAGCGTGACTTTTCGTGCCAGTCATTGGCGTCTCGAGAAGTCGAGAAGGGGTGGGAAGAAAGCATGCTGAAGACACGGGTAGCAGCTGGTGCGTTGGCATTTTGGGTTGCCTGGTTGATTGCTTCGCTATTAGCAGTTTCTGATTGTTGATTGTCGGGTTTGGGGATAGTCACATTACCATGTGGATCCGTTGGAATTACGTACGATGTACGTTCATTAGTCACTGGACAAACCTCTTGCTCCCCCACGTCCATGTTTTCATTCTGGTCATACGTTTGTGGTTGGCGCTGGTATTGCGAATGTGAGAGTTGCGATTTATAACCATGGTATTCCTTCGCTTCGCCCGTGGGAAGGACTGTTGGAGGCAGCGATGCCAAATGTGACAGCTCTGAACCACAGCCACGCTTGGGGCTCCAACTTGGGCTATCCTTATTTGTGGGCCGACGTGGAAGGTATGGTTGCCATCTGGGAGACGGATTTTCCATTTCTTTCCTGCTGTAAGTGGTATAAGATAAGGCAGATTTGAATAAATATAGTCTCACCTAAACATACGTGAAAATCAGTAAACATCTAGCCAGCAAAACATTTCACACAGCAGAAGAATCGAAGAGGCTCGGTACAAACCTGGGAAAGGAATGTGAGGGCGGCAACTGTGACTGATCAATGCTAGATGTTCGATCGAACGTTCGCGAGGATCGAGGTGCCTGTGTGTAGCCACCATTCTCAGGCCCGTACATGGGCGAAGGCACGGGCGTGAGCAACGGTGTATTGTGTGCGGCCAGCGACCCCTTCATCTCTTCAAGGCGATCTTGCAACTCTTGTATGCTCTGCTCTAGATCTTTGGCAGGTAGAAAGGCATCCTGCCTAGCAGCCGGGTGTAGCGGTGGGGCATGCACATGTCCTTGAGACTGGGAGCTAATCATGGAATAAGATCTACTTTTGAAGTGGCCCTCTCGTGCATTTTTAGTTTCTGTGTGGGAGCGAGGTCTTCTTGTTCCTCTGTCCTGTGCTGGATTTCGCCCTTGCATTGATATACAAACTGTCTCGTTTGTTTGTAAATTGTCAGAACTAGGTACCCGTCCCGCTTCTATATACACTCCGGGACTACTGATGTTCGAATCTGTGCCACTATCGTTTGTCCGGGCAACTTTGCTGGACTTCATCTCCTCAGCACTTACCTCAACAGAATAGTCGACCTCTGAACCGTTCTTCGCTTCGAGAAGAGCAATTTTCGCGAGTAGCGATCGTATATACGATGCTGTTATGTAATAATAGAAAGAGAGAGAAAACTAGGCTATTAGAACACGGTACAAAGGATACTATTCCAATTGCGGCCTCACGTTCGAACGAGACTATAAAATGGAAAAGGTTTAAACTGTTGCTGATGGGTTGCGACAAAAAGACAGCTTCACGACCTTAATTGCACGATATTATACGTACCTGCCAATCTCAGTATCTTCGATTTGCTTTGTTTGTCTCCAGCACATCCGGGTACAATGTCTCGTAGAGTGCTAAATCCTTCATTTATAGCTATTCATTTGAATAGGGCAAAAAAAAAAGGCAGGTCGTATTTAGATGGACCACTCGAGAAGTTAGTGTGCACTGTCTCGATACAAATTGAGCACGTTGCATATTTAAAGTCTAGGGAAGCTCACATTTCACATTTGATCCACATTTGTAAGACATAGCGCAAACATTTAAGCAATTAAGATACATATTTCAAAAAGCAGTATCATACATTTCAGATGCTCCAGAGAAGAGTCAGCACACCTAACCCCACCACATACCTATCATGCGCTTTCTCTCGTTACTGTTTGCAATCTCTCGACGTGAGCTACTCACGCCGTTGTTTACCACGGGCATCTTACCAGCGGAGTATGACTCTAAGCTATCTACTTGTACCATAATGAGGTCAAGACTGTAGAGGAGCACTACTTTGCGGAATATATTTCGACAGTATACGTCTGTGTGTATGTGATTAGTTCTATTGAAGTGTTCGCCAAATATTGTAGTTTCCTCACTTTAAACTTCCTTGCTTCTTGATCGTGGACGTCTCGAACTCTGGATGGCAGCGGTTTTCAGCCGATGTACGCATACGACGGACCTCGATCGAACTTGATCATCGCATGAAAACGCCAAACACCAAAATCATTAATAAACAGCCTGGGCTACCTTAAAAAATATATATTTCGAGATCTATCAGCTCTGGTCAGCTTTGGTCAGCTTACTCAGGCCTCAGCTGTGCAAAATAAATTTTCAGAAACAAAAAAAAATTGCAGTAGGACCGAGGTCTGAGGAGACCAATCACGTTATAATTTTTTCAGCACACGGCACACGCGAGTATTTAGTTTCGGACGAATGAAGTATAGTAAAAGGGGTCGATGATTGACCCGTTAATTTTAAGTGGAAACTCACTCAAAATAGAAGGCTGTCCCCGATCGTTCTTTTCTCAATATTAATTCAGTTAAAAAACTCTAGAAAACTACTAAATACAAGAAGCCAACTGCCAGAATCAGATAAATACAGGTATAAACAGACAAACAGAGTAACACAGACAAGATTAGATTTCTTTCATACCAAAACATTTTATTTTTAAAAAGTTGTCTTGTATTAAAAACGGTTTAAGAAAAGAACTAATCGGGAACTTGGGAAGTGGACAACTAGACAAATATTTAAAATATTTAAATCCACTTTTAGGTTTCTTGCTGCAGAATATATAAATAAATATAATTTGAATACTTTTAACTTGAATAAAAAGTATACGAATATCTATATATTCTGTGTATTTATAAAAAAGCAATTCAACGCATATGTGATAAAACTTAAAGTGTCGCAAGATACCATCGGCACCAGTCATCAGATTGAATAATAAACATCAATTTTAGTTTTTGAAATAAATATACAAAAGGTGTGAATAGCTTTTTTGATAGGCATAGTATTAAAAATATTTGTGATAAAATACTCTATGATTTAATAATATGATGTTTTCAAATTTTCAACAGTCATCGTTAAGGCATCGTAAAGTTCTTTTTTACAAAATCTAAAAAAATCTATTGCTTTTTAATACTTTAGAACATAGGACCATAGGCCCTACATACTACTCAAAAACCTGAATAGTAGTAAAAAAGGGACCTGACTCAAATATCAAATATTGTTTTATAAAGAATTAGAGAGAGAGAGGGAGTCAGACTCAGAGAGTGAGCGGCTGAGCGCCTCTGAGTTTGGAAATTGTCACGAATCTATTGTAGCTTTTGTTCTCTTTCCTCCGAGGCTCCGAGTCCTACACATCCTATTTTTTAATTTTATATATATATATATATATATATATATATATATATATATATATATATA